TAGTGAAGGCAGTCTGAACGCGGAGGAGGAAGAGGAGGAGGAGGAGGGACGTGTGGGATGACGAAACAGGGGTCCAAACTTTAACGTAGGACCACTTCACATTTACTTTGCGTTTACATTAAACTGTAGTAAAAGGCTGTTGAGGTGTTCGCTGTTGTTAACTGTAAAAATCCACAATCACGGTCAAAAATGAACATTCAAAGTCCAAATTAATCTTCAAAATTAAAAACTAAGAATCTGTACTTATTCCGGTAGTCATTTTGTTTGTATTTGAGATTTCTTTTATCATGTGAGTAAATATCGTGAAAAATATTGATCTCAAAATTGATCTTTGACTCTTATTTGTCAGTTCCTGTTCTCTACTTTTGTATCATGAACAAAAAATAAGGAGTCGTGCACAAACAAAAGGCAGAAACTGTGTGTGTTTCACTTTAAAATCCAACCTGTCGCCTTCTTTCTTTTTGTTGCGGCCTTGGCACAGGGTCTTAACACATTAAATAAATACACATTTCTATTCAATTATACTTAAATTATCTATAATGTGAAAGTATTTTGTGTATTTATTCATACTGTACACACTATACTGCAAAATAACTTTGTCTGTCAAACTGTTTAAGTGTGTAAGTGTCGCCGCACGATCCTGATCTTCTGGGTCCCACGAGATTTTTTTTGGGTGTCGCCTAGTGCCTCCGCTCAATTTAATTTCTCTCCAGCGACTAGGTCAGGAATCGGAATACACTAGACGGTTCGCAAAAACCCCAGAAGTGTGAGTTCGGGCACCAGCCAATCAGCGAAGAGACATATATTCTGTGTTGACAACGATTCCCGAGATCGAGGATTTAAAACCGGAACAAAGAGAATGTTTGGTGAATTTTATCAAGTGGAAAGACGTTATTGCCCTTCTTCCTACGGGATTTGGTGCATTACATACGTCACGATCAAACAGCAGCGACTGGTTAAATAAAAAAGTACCCGCTTACCGTCGAGCGAACGAATCCTAATGCTGCGAGGTCAGACAGTTTCCACGAAGTGAAACCGGCTGGTGAATCAGATTATGTCATGATCTGCATGTAGGTTGAAATGTTAAGACATGTTTTGTATCATTTCTAATCTTTTTGTAATTATTTTATTGACTATTTTGTTAATATAGTCAACTTATGGATCCTTTTATTGCTGCTTCAGTGTTTTTCTTACCGCGATCACTCAGTCGACAATAAAATATCCTCATTAATGTTAAATTTATGAGTAATGTCTGTTGACTTGGGTCGTGAAGGTTTGTGACTTTTAAAATATGACTCCCAAGAAAAAAAATAAGCTTGGGAAACCCTGATCTATATCATTTCCATCAAACACCACGATGACTCGACCTTGATGAGGTGTAATCATGATCATGTCAGTTTCTGTCTTTTGTCTTTGGACGACTCCATATTTTTGGTTCTTGATAGAAAAGTAGAGCACAAGAACTGACAAAAGAAGCGTCAAAGGTCAATTTTGAGCTCAATATTTTTCACATACAAATTTTTTTTTTCATTATAGTCAAATTTTGGGAGTCCTACCTTTTATACTTAGAAACGCTGAAGTAATTTTTCTCAGTTTCACACTCTGAAGACTTAAGATCTTTCACCTTTTTAGGGCAGAATTGACACATCAAATTTCCCTAAGTGTGTCCCTTAACTTTTCTTGTCTTCACTTTTAGTTTGGACACCCCTGAAGTAACAAAAAAATAAAATAAAATAACCAAACTCCGGGTATGTTTCAGATGGGTCAATAGCGAAGAAGAGTGTTTAGCATAATATGGGAATTTCAAATACTTTATTTTTTTTTGTAGATTTTAAAGTTATGATACAAGAGAGACTATTGTTGTGCCACGTAACGGACATCATCCAGTATCGAGATTCCCCCAAGACTTATTCCAGCGTCGTATGAAATCGTCCGTAAAGTTTACAATCAGTGATGTGTACAGAGCGAGCGTTATGTTTATGGACAAGAGGAGGAAGGACGGAAGTATATCCAGAGTATTTTTGAAGTACAATCACAACAGAAGTCCTCATGCCAGAACCCAACAGTCCCACTACGCATGCATCTACTCGTACTACGGGAGAACAGAGAGAGAGATAGAGAGAGAAAGAGAGAGGGGGGGGGGTACGTACCATGAAAGAAGTACCATGAAAGTACTATGGTCACAGTCTGAGAAGTATAGTCCTACATTCAGATGAGGCAGGAGAACTGAGGGCGACCACCGGGTGATGCAGTACAAGTACTAGAGTGATATTTGACGTGTTACTCTTTGGCGGGAGAATACAGGCTCCACTGATCTGACTTTGGCAAATTTTCTTTTAGACACATTTTACAATCAGAAGATCAAATATTATTCATAATAAAACTGAAAATGGACGTGTCGGGGGTTACTTATGGTTTTGATCCATTAGGGGGCGTTGCAGCAAACCAGTTGCATGCCGATTCTTTTTATTTATTTATTGTTTTTTTTTAAAGGTGGAACTTTTCTGGTGAAAGGTCCAACGCCTGCTTGTCTCCCCGCCTGGAATGTCGTGGCCAAATTTTCTCGTCAAAGCCTGATCTCGTGACCCAAATCCAAATTTTTCGTCCCTTTGCGACCTTTATCTGATCTTTTAATGACGACGCAGATCCGATTTTTTTTCAAATGCGACCCAGGCCACTTGGATATGCGCTCCTAAAACCGATACATATCCGATCTTTTGACATGCGACTTCGGTCTGAACGGCCAGGTCGCATTCATCCCACCTACACGTCATCAGCGAGCAACAAATGTCACTATAAGAGGGTTTCAGTCACGTGATCACGATGACGCACGAATTTCAGGTGGAGGGCAGGAAGTGAAGACAAACACGACAAACAAACACGGCTCTGGAGAACACAGATATGGAGAAGAGTTCTTATTGTAAGGATTTAGAGCCAGTAGCGAGGCAAAGGTACGAGCAGTTAGTCGACAAATATATTGGACATGACACCATCTTATTGAAAATGAGAGAATTTTCGACCGAAGTAAAAGATTTGCCGACAATCGAGGCAGAGGATATCACGAACTATCTAGTTCTCCAGACATCGTTCTACACCAGACAACAGATGAAGGCAAAGTACAAAAGTTAGGAGGAATATAACTTTTTTTGTCAGTGGATGGGTCCTCAACCTTGATGCAAAACGACTACGTGATGATCATTGTTTGGTCTTCGCCGGGGTGAGTGTTTCTCTTATTTTATGTGTTTAGATGTTATGGAAAAAACTGCAGTGTATCGGCAGTAACCGATCTATCCAAACTACTTAATGTCAACAAACGTCTTTAGCCGTTAGTCGTTAATGATTCATTTATGTTTAGGTAAACCACAAAAAACAATTTAGCTTTGTAACAAACCTTTGATGAAGTGGTCACTGCAGACACGAGCGTTAGCGAATTCTGCTCCTCCCGACCGCAAACGTAGGTTAGGTTCTGTCAGCTTTTCCCATTTCTGACCTTTGTGGACGACTATCTTCGGTACTCTAAAAAAAAATCGCTTTTCCTTCTCTCGGTTAGAACGATTGGCAACAGCCGTAAACTACACAACACATCGGCATTTTCCAGACAAAGACGCAACAGAGTTTCACGAGCTTCCTCCAGTCAGTTCACTTCCTGCCCTCCGTCTGATTTCGCACGCTGACAAACGTAGCCCTGTGAACCACAACTGAACCAGTTCTAAACCAGGACTAAAATAGGTCTAAACAAGAACTGAACCTGGTCAGTCCTGGTCTGGTTCTGGTCTGGTTCTGGTCTCAGTCCCCGTCTGGTCCCAGTGTCAGTCCTGGTTTGGTCTCGGCCTCAGTCCTGGTCTCAGTTCTGGTCCTGGTCCCGGTCTCTGTCCTGATTCAGTCCTTGTTTAGACCTGTTTTAGTCCTGGTTCAGTCCTGGTTTAGACCTGGCAGAAACTGGAAGAAAGCCGCAACCACGGCGGACGACAATGCAAGAGAATGGCCAAAAAAAAAAAAAAAAAGTATGCTCCGAAGAGTGATTTTTATGTACAGTTACACCCCTAGTCTTTAGGAACTTAAATTTACCCGTGCATTGCCTAGAGTGAAAGCGACGCGGCAAAAAACATTATTTCCTGGCAAAATTCTCCATGGAGACAAGCAAGTATCTAAGCTTCCACCACAAAAGTTACGTAATGCAAGTACTGGTAGATTCTCTAAGAGCAGTGGTTTGAGTGTACGGCGAAGTGACGGGTGGTCCCCCTCTGAGTACAATCTGAGCATGTGCGAAACTCCTCAGCCCACAGTGATCAGTGCTACACACGGGCCGCGGAATCATGGGAAAGTCGCGGAGTGGACGGGAGGGGCGGGGCTTGTGGGGGGGTGGGGAGGGGCTAGAGGGGGCGGAGGGCGACATGGGGCGGGGACAGAAGAAGGGGCTCGTGAGGACGTGGGCGTGTCTTTGGGGACGCGGGGAGGAGCTTGAGAGGACAGGTGGGCGGAGCTTTAGAGGAGAACGGGAGGAAGTGGCGGCGTCTCATCCCGAGGCCTTGATGTAGAGCTGGGTCTGCAGGATGTAGTCGATGACGGGCTGGTACAGGTAGTCCACCACGTGTCCGTCTCCGTGCTGCAGGGCCAGTCTGAGGACACAGGGACACACTTACTGTATTTTTCAGACTATAAGGCGCACCGGCTTATAAGGCGCATTAAGCAAAACAAACGGACGACACTTGAGACTGATCCTTAGCCCAGGCGTCCACGATCCATTGGCAGATCGTGGCGTAATTCGCTCGCCGTTACCTCCCTGTCTTGGTGAATGTGTGAATGTGGGTGTATAATTTAAGTTTGTTTTTTTATTTCCTACGAGGACGACTCAAATATACACTGAGTAATAATGTGTTTAATGCAGCTTTGCGCACATTTGTTTACGTTTTACAGAAAACTTAAAACCACATCCATCAAGTGGTACAGCTTTGCAGTTTACCAAAGTCGTACTAAAACATTTTGAGAGATTTCTGCGCGGTGTACCACATACAATTGGTTCGAGGTCAGTCAGCACAAACAAACTTAATACATAAGGCGCACTGTCGATTTTTGAGAAAATTTTGAGAAACTATGTGGCCATAGCAACTTGTCAAACCTGATCCTGTCAGATCTAAACAAGGTCGGGCCTGGTTAGTACTTGGATGGGAGACCAGTGGGAAAATCAAGAGCCACAGGGGGGCACCAGTCACAGTCATTGTGTCCTTAGGCAAGACACTTCACCCACATTGCCGGCATGGCAGTCTGCCCCAGGTCAGCTGTGGCTACAATACTAGCCTATCACAGGGTATGGAGTGAATGAATAATACTCTGTAAAGGGTCTTTGTGACAAATGTCTGTAAAAAGCACTATATAAATAAAAAAATAAAAAAAAACATTACTTACTTTAATTAAAGGATTTTAAGCATGCCTTATAGTCCGAGAAATACGGTAGATACTTTGTAGGGCACATTTTACACTGTAATGTATGATATAATGTTGTTTCCTCATCACAAACAGACCTTGTGTTTTGTTTCATTTGCACATATTTAACACACAAACCTGCAGATTTAGGCTGAGTTCTTCTCTCAAACGAAAAGCACTGTTCTAGAATCGTTTGGATAATTTCAGCCCTGGAATTGCCAATCTCTACTGAACAAAAGGTAAAAAGGCTTGAAACTACTGCTTCATTACATCACAAAGTGGAACAAGCATTTAGAGCTTTGGAAATAGAGGAGCAGACAGACTAATAATAAAAAGTTACTCAAACATGTGTGTCCTTGGGTGTGTTTTTGATGAGGTAGCAATATTTTAACACGGCAAATTTGGAATCTATTCCTTAGTATTGAAATCGAGTTTAAAATGTTAGGATAGAAAACAGATTTTTGGTGAGCAGCTCTGGACCTACCTGCTCTTGGTGGAGCTGACCACAGACATGGGGTGAGAGCCGGCGTCCTTCACCACGATGATGTTGTCCTGCAGAGAACGTGACAGACAAACACTGTGAGTAAACCTGATGTGTCTCCTGTAGACGTGCGGAGCAGCAGGGGGACAGACCTTGTACTTGCGCAGGATGGCCGAGTGGTTCATGATGCGTTCAGTGTCGGCTCCGTCGCGAGGGACCACCACGATGCCGAAATCTCCCACGATCACCTCCATCTGAAACGCACCACAGGCAGGACAGGTCATAGGGCTGTGACGTGCAGGTGTTTATGTGTCTGTCTGTGTCTCTTTTGTGGTGCAGCACAACAGTAAACAAAGCGTCGAGATGGATGTAGACGAAGACAGACATTCTGTGTTGGCGACGATTCCCGAGATCGAGGATTTAAAGCCGGAACAAAGAGAATGTTTGGTGAATTTTATCAAGGGGAAAGACGTTATTGTCCCTTCTTCCTATGGGATTTGGGAAAAGTTTAATATTCCAGTTCGCCCCGTTAGCAGAGCATTATATACGTCACGACCAGTGTTGGGGAGTAACAGATTACATGTACCGGTATTACGTAATTATGTACAAGTTATGAGTAACTGTATTCAGTTACAGTGGTAATTGGATTACAGTTACTTTGTTAAAATAAATGGATTACATGGTGGTATGTTCCTGTTTTCACATTTTGGGCTGTATCCCATGTCTCCTTCCGTACTGTGTGGACACCGCTTCCTCTTGTGTGCCTCTAAACCAGAACTAACACCAGGACTAAAACCAGGACTAAACCAGTCCAGGACCAAACCAGGACTAAACTAAGACTAAAACTAGGTCTAAACCAGGACTAAACCAGGACTAAACCAAACCAGGACTAAACCAGGATTAAATATACGGCAGCAGTAGCTCAGTTGGTAGAGCATTCGCCCACTAATCTGAAGGTTGGTGGTTTGATTCCAGTTCTCGACATAAACATCACAGGTTGAGCGGTCAGATCCACTGACCCACAGGTTGGCTGGTGTGATTCCAGCTCCCACAGATGAATGCTGTCGTTGTGTCCTTGGGCAAGACACTTAACCCACCTTGCCCACAGTGTCTGTGTACACTGGTGTGTGAATGGGTGAGTGGTTCCTTGTTGTAAAGCGCTTCGAATTCCTTGAAGGTGGAAAAGCGCTATAGAAAAATGTGACCATTTACCATTAAATTAAGACTGAACCAGGACTAAACCAGGAACTAAAACCCGGACAAAAAATCTTATGTTAAAATTTCCTCATCTTTGCTTCTCTACAGTAAACAAATGTCTTTTCATGGAGACTTGGGCTCAACAGACAATTTGAAGAAAACAAACATGAATTTTCAGGATGTGGTTGTTACATTCATGTAGTTTTAAAAAACATGACAATATCAAGTAATCCAAAGTATTCAGATTACATTACTCACTTTAAGTAAATTAATGGATTCTGTTACAAACTACATTTTGGGGTATGTAATCTGTAATCTGTAGGGGAACACATTTTAAAAGAAACCTCCCCAACACTGGTCAGGACCAAATAGCAGTGATTGGTTACATAAAAAAAAGTACCCGCCTACTGTCAAGCGAACAAATTCTAACACTACGAGGTCAGTTTGCACGGTTTCTACAAAGTGAAACCGGCTGATGAATCAGATTAGTACGACACGGGGAGTGAGCGAGTCAGTCATATGATCATCTCCTTACATCACTGTCCTTCCAGAGGCCGGGGATACAGAAGGAGTCGAGCAGGTCACTCCCGCACAGCAGCAGGATCCTCAACTCTACACACACACAAAAAAAAAAACACCGTCACAGAAGCTTCGATAGTGAACGTGTGATCTATCGCAGGAGCACAGGACACTCACCGATCTCCTCGTAGCGGATTGCAGTCCCCAGGTTTGCATTCTCATCTGACACAAACACACAGAGACGTTTTCAGTCAGAATTAAACATGCGCAGTACCACCACCAGAGGGCAGCACACAGTTAAACGCCATAAAGATCAGTGGTTCTTACCGACGAACGTGAAGCGGTCGATGTGAGGACGAACACAGCAGATTTTTCCCAGGTTTTCACTGATTTTACCCCAGAGTTTGACTGAAACAAAACAACACGGACAGCTTTAGTTGACACTGGTTAAAGGCGCTGAATCTGTGGATCATTTGTTCATTCGTTTTTCAAAATAAAACCAAAAATAAGAAAACAAAAAAACATTTTTTGTTCATTATTTTTCTCCAAAACCAAAATGGAAAAACTGCAACGCCGAACTTTTGCACTGCATACGGACTGAACCAGGACTGAACCAGGACTAAAACAGGTCTAAACAAGGACTGAATCAGGACAGAGACCAGGACCAGGACCAAAACTGAGACCAGGACTAAGACTGGGTCCAGACCAGGGGCCTCATTTATAAAGCTCGCTTACGCAAAAATCCTTGCGTACGCGCTCTCTACGCCAACCGCGGTATTTATGAACCTCGACAAAAGCGTGTCGCTTTGCTTAACTCTATGCTAACTTGGGACCTCCTGTGCACGTATCTACGTGTATATGCATAAATACACAGGGCCAGTCCACACACACATCATATAAAAATATAGCGATAAAACTCTTGAAACAGCGAAAAAACACATGGGCTTTACTGCAAAGATGTGCTGCCTAAATATTATGAAATATGATTAAATGAACAGATGAGTCATTGTTGTCACTTTTAGTTTTGTATTTATTTATTAAACCTTGTTTAATAAAGTCTTTAATAAAGTGTTTGTGTGATCACGTGGTGCTGCGTGGAGCGTCCTCCTCCCTCTGTCCCGCGTGTCTCGGTCAAACCCACTGATTATCGGCTCATGTTTAGGGAAATCTCATTCACGAGTCACTTTACATGCTCCTTTTATGGTGAGGTGGAGGTGTGGAGAGGGCGTGACGTGACGTGGGTTTACGTGCGCAAATTCTAGTTGCAGGTGGGATTTATAAAGCAAAGATTGCGTGGTTTGGTGCGTGCGGTGGGTTTTCTATATATGGAGTTTGCGTGGCGCACGCCTGTCGTAGCTACTAGGCGTACGCACTAACTTACGACAACTCCTGCGAAGTTTTTATAAATGAGGCCCCAGAACTGAGACCAAGACTGAGACCGAGACCAAACCAGGACTGACAATGGGACCAGACGGGGACTGACCAGATTCAGTTCTTGTTTAGACATATTTTAGTCCTGGTTTATTCCCAGTTTAGACCTGTGTTAGTCCTGGTTTAGTCCTGTTTTAGTCCTGGTTCAGTTCTGGTTCAGTCCTGGTTCAGTCCTGTTTTTGTCCTGTTTTCATCCTGTTTTAGACCTGGTTCAGTCCTGGTTCAGTCCTGGTTTAGTCCTGTTTTCATCCTGTTTTAGTTCTTGTTCAGTCCTGGTTTAGACCTGGTTTAGTCCTGATTCAGTCCATATGCGGCGCAAAAGTCCAGAGTCAAAGTTTAAGTCATGGAAACAGGAAACGTTTGCACCTGATTTTTTTTTTTTTTTTAAGTCTTAAAAAATAAACACAACCCAACAAGAGGAACAACATGCAAACTCCACACAGACCCCCAGGACTCAAACCCAGGAGCTTCTGGTTGTGAGGTGAGCGCGAGCGTATAGACTCACTGGCTGTGGGCTTGTGGTTCATGTTGCCGTGGTTCTGGTAAATGGGCGTGGTCTGGGTCTGCGGCTGAGTCAGCTGACCAATCACGGGAGTGGAAGAGGGCGTGTTGATGTTGGACAGGATGCACCCGGTTACTCTCTGAAACCACAAAGCACAAAGCGGTCAGACCACAGAAAGGAGTCGGGGACGAGATGGAGAACGTTATAGACAGAAAATATAACTCGAAATGAGGTTTAGTACAAATATCAGCTCTGTTTAGCTTTAAGTAACGTCATCTGTGCGTTCTTCAGATAAATTCATGTTGTTACCTGGTCCCCGAAGGTTTGATCAGGTTTTGTATTCACCCTGTGTGTCTGTGTGTGTCTGATAATTCCACCATTTATTCACCCATTGTCACTAAATTTGGTAGGTGGGTCAAGCCCCCGTGCCCGATGCCCCAAAAAAAAAAAGTTTGATGACGATCCGAGGTCATTTGAGGTCACACGGGTCAATTTCTGAACCATCTGCGGCCTAAAATATTCACCCAATCGTCACACAAGTTGGCACAAACATAACCGGGATGCACTGGATGTTACAGGTTGAAACCGGTCAAGGTCACTTGAAGGTCGAGGTAACCAAGGTCAAATATGCGTTTTTGGTCATAACTCCGCAAAGGATGGAGCTAGAGCAGACATGTCCAAACTATGGCCCTCAGACTTCCAGGTGAATTGGCCCAAATTACCTTGCACCAATTAAAAAAATATTTTTTACTGCAAGTTTTTTGAAAATCTACCTTGATAAAGTTAATATTTCATATTTAGTGTGTGGTTTTAAGGATCTTAGCATGAATAAAGACTGATGGCTCATTCTAACGTGTTAAACCTGCACACATTTCAATTATTCCCTGTATTGAGCATCAGTCTGCAGCCTTCAATCGACCCTCTGCTTCGTCTGTGTTTAGATATGTGGCCCTTGATGAAAAAAGTTTGGACACCCCTGAGCTGGAGCAACGGGAGTGGAATCAAAATCTCAGAAAAAATATTATCTATTTATAATTCTATGCATTTGTATTGTAAAAATAGGCGCTCTGGATTATAAGACGCACTGTTATTAAATGGTCTATTTTCAAACTTTTTTCTCAAATAAACCACACTGGACTTTAAACAAAACACAACAGTTGGATGGGTCAGTGGTTTTGTTTGTTTGTGGCGTTCACGGTGACTCTGGGCTTTGTTCAGTTGTGGCGTGTAGGGAGGGTGCTGTCTGGGACCAACGGATCGGTCACGATTACTCAATTGTTCAGTTGTGTCTAGAAGTGGCACATTGCGCTCGCTTATTCGGTTCGTTCCTCCGTTCCGTTCCTCGTCGGCGTGGAGTGATGAGTGTGTCTGTGGGTGTGTTTCGCTGTGCGGTCGCTGTCTGCTCTGTGTGTGTTTGCGTGTTCTGCGGGTGGTGCGGCTTTGTAGTTTACTAAAGTCGTGCTGGGACACCTGAGTGGATTCATGTATGGGGGGCGCACGGTCGTTTTTTGATTCGGTTAGAGGCTTAAGAGCGCGTCTAATAGCCCGGAAAATACTGTAGTTTTCAAGATAATCACTAATTATAACAGCTCCTTTCTCTTTCAGTGTAGCCGTTAAAATTCTAATTGGAACAAAAATTATTTCTTTTTCTGTTGTTACACAAAACACTGATCTACAGTCACACAACTAACATATAAACAACTCATATATGTTAGTTGTGTGACTGTTACACACTAGTAAACACAGATATTCTCATGTGTGACCAATATCACACAAATGTTCATGGGCCTGTACAGATACACACATTGTATTGTGGATATAACGATCATGTAATATGGACTGAGCTCCTCATAAACTGCTTCTCTGGTGATGAACTGACCCACCGACGCCTCATGGGGACCAGGTTGATATCTTTTGATGGCGCTTGTTAAATTTAAACTTATTTTTACACCTTGTCTTTGCCTTCCTGTTTGGTCCACTACATATGTAAACAAAGTCATGGTCGGGACTGAATATCCACCCATGTCTGATGTTGTCTCATTCCACAAACATGTAGTATTATGAACAACTGTTTGGGGGAAATCAGGGAGAAATATCTGAGGTCGATCTGTCAAATATGATGAGAGAAATATAATGATCCAGACTCAGTTCAAACTATATGATGAAGTTTACATTTGCAAAGCCGCCCGCGTGTGAAGACGTCAAATGTAAAGATGTGTACAGACGTGTTCAGATGTATCGTGGTGCTGCTGGGGTCTGACCTTCATCAGGTCCCTGTGGTGCTCCAGCACGCTGCAGGTGGTCTGCCATGTGTCCTGGTAACACTCCCAGGGGTCCACTCTGACACACACACACACATAGACACACACACACACACACACAAACACACACACACAGTTACACACACACAGTTACACAGTTAGAGTTCAGGTCTACAATCTGTACTTTAGTAAAATGCAAAGGTACAGTGTTTCCCAAAGACTGAGTCGTGACCCTCAGGTGAGTCACAACAGATTTTTTGGGGGGGTCGCCTTGTCACGATCTGCAACACACTACAAAAACGCAGACAAAGCCACTTATCTCATTAGAAATGTTGAAATGATAAGACATGTTTTGTATAATTTCTAATCTTTTTGTAATTATTTTATTGACTACTTTGTTCCAATATTGCTGGTCCAATTGAATGTTGAAAAGAAAAAGAAATGGGCTAAATTTAAAGTCCAAATAGGCGACTTATGGATCCTTTTATTGCCGCTTCAATTGCTGTTCTTTATTGTTTAAACCTTGAGTAATACTAATTGATTGTTTATTTATTTATTGGATCCCCATTAGTCTCTACTGGGGTAAAGACTATTCTTCCTGGGGTCCAAGTTGGCACAATTTACAATAAAATGTTCCATTATAATAACAAAAATAGTTCACACATGAGTTCATACAGTCCTGTTCCATAGTTTACTACACTACACTACTACAACTATAATAAATGCATAACTATTAATTGTTCAGAGACACGATCACTCAATCAACAATAAAATATCCTCATTAATGTTCAATAATGGTCAAATCCACCTTTATTTTGTGATTTATGAATAATGTCTATTGACTTGGGTCGTGAAGGTTTGTGACTTTTAAAATATGGATCCCCAGAAAGAAAAAAAAAGACTTTGGGAAACACTGAGCGAGTTTATGTGAGAGAGGACAGAGTCTTTACCTGATCCAGTCTGAGGACTGCACCGCCAGCTGGCACATGGTCAGGCGATGTCTGCTGGACACCAGGCCCTGCACAAGAACACATCAAGCACTAAAATGTTTAAAATGTTACTGTAGCAGGGAAAACTCAGAAACACTCCAACACTGTCTCTTCACATTTGTTTTCGTGGTATAATGCACAGTGTTGGGAAGGTGACTTTTAAAATGTATTCATCTACAGATTACAGATTACATACCCCAAAATGTAGTTTGTAACAGAATCCATTAAATTACTTAAAGTGAGTAACGTAATCTGAATACTTTGGATTATTTGATTTGCTGTCGAGAAGCAAAGACCAGGATATTTTTGTCTGTTTAAAGAAAATAAAAAGCCCAGACTTTCCTTAACCATATTAAAAAATATTATTGATAGAAGAGGAGGAGACACGGTCTGCGCTCTGCATGGTTTAGTCCTTTTAAATCCTGTTTTCAGACCTGGTTTAGACCTGGTTTAGTCCTGGTTTTAGTCCTGTTAAATCCTGTTTTAGACCTGGTTTAGTCCTGGTTTAGTCCTGGTTTAGTCCTGTTAAATCCTGTTTTAGACCTGGTTTTAGTCCTGGTTTAGTCCTGTTAAATCCTGGTTTAGACCTGGTTTTAGTCCTGGTTTAGTCCTGTTAAATCCTGTTTTTAGACCTGGTTTAGACCTGGTTTAGTTTAGTCCTGTTAAATTCTGTTTTAGATCTGGTTTAGACCTGGTTTAGTCCTGGTTTTAGTCCTGTTAAATCTTGTTTTAGATCCTGGTTTCGACCTGGTTTAGTCCTGGTTTTAGTCCTGTTAAATCCTGGTTTTAGACCTGGTTTAGTCCTGGTTTAGTCCTGTTTAAATCCTGTTTTCCTGTTTAGACCTGTTTAGTCCTGTTAAATTCTGTTTTAGATCTGGTTTAGACCTGGTTTAGTCCTGGTTTTAGTCCTGTTAAATCTTGTTTTAGTTTGGTTTCGACCTGGTTTAGTCCTGGTTTAGTCCTGTTAAATCCTGGTTTAGACCTGGTTTTAGTCCTGGTTTAGTCCTGTTAAATCCTGGTTTAGACCTGGTTTAGACCTGGTTTTAGTCCTGTTAAATCCTGTTTTAGACCTGGTTTAGACCTGGTTTAGTCCTGTTAAATCCTGTTTTAGACCTGGTTTAGACCTTTTAGACCTAGTTTAGTCCTGTTAAATCCTGTTTTAGACATGGTTTAGGCCTGGTTTTAGTCCTGGTTTTAGTCCTGTTAATCCTGTTTTAGTCTGGTTTAGACCTGGTTTTAGTCCTGGTTTAGTCCTGTTAAATCCTGTTTTAGACCTGGTTTAGTCCTGGTTTTAGTCCTGTTAAATCCTGGTTTAGACCTGGTTTTAGTCCTGGTTTAGTCCTGTTAAATCCTGTTTTAGACCTGGTTTAGACCTAGTTTAGTCCTGTTAAATCCTGTTTTAGATCTGTTTAGACCTGGTTTAGTCCTGGTTTTAGTCCTGTTAAATCTTGTTTTAGACCTGGTTTCGACCTGGTTTAGTCCTGGTTTTAGTCCTGTTAAATCCTGGTTTAGACCTGGTTTAGTCCTGGTTTAGTCCTGTTAAATCCTGGTTTAGACCTGGTTTAGACCTGGTTTTAGTCCTGTTAAATCCTGTTTTAGACCTGGTTTAGACCTGGTTTAGACCTGGTTTTAGTCCTGTTAAATCCTGTTTTAGACCTGGTTTAGACCTAGTTTAGTCCTGTTAAATCCTGTTTTAGACATGGTTTAGGCCTGGTTTTAGTCCTGGTTTTAGTCCTGTTAAATCCTGTTTTAGGCCTGGTTTAGTCCTGGTTTAGTCCTGGTTTAGTCCTGTTAAATCCTGTTTTAGACATGGTTTTAGGCCTGGTTTTAGTCCTGGTTTTTAGTCCTGTTAAATCCTGTTTTAGACATGGTTTAGACCTGGTTTAGTCCTGGTTTAGTCCTGTTAAATCCTGTTTTAGATCTGGTTTAGACCTGGTTTTAGTCCTGGTTTAGTCCTGTTAAATCCTGGTTTAGACCTGGTTTAGACCTGGTTTAGACCTGGTTTAGTGTCCGGCAATGAGTTGAATTACAGAAAAAAAAAAAAAAAAAGGGATATAGCCCAAAATGTAAAAACAGGAAAATCCCGCCGTGTAATCCATTTATTTCAACAAAGTAACTGTAATCTAATTACCACTCACTGAAACAGTAACTGTAACTGAATACAGTTACTCATCATTTGTACTCTGATTACTTAACTCTGGTACATGTAATCTGTTACTCCCCAACACTGATAATGCACCACTTGCAGAAGTTATGAAGTGATGTCTGGGCCTAATTATGGAAAGTATTAACGATTTGCGTGTGATGTGGCGGTGAACTGGAGGTCAAGACTGGGATTATTCAGTTTATTTCAATATAATCCTGGCGACTTTCAACAGCGGAAACGATATAAAACTGTCAGAAACCGCCAGCTCGTTAGATCAGCGTCATTAGAAAGATATAAAGCTAAAGTCGTCCTCCTGGTTGTGGAATAGATCCTGATCTAATTCCGATCGAGCGCTTTGTCAGTCTAATCAACGCTCGCTCTGTGCCCGACCTTTAGTATCCAGATATTTACAACTACTTCATTCATTCGACGTCGTCCTACACCAACCAAGAACTGAAAAGCTACACGGGGTCAGAAGCAGATAAATATTTTGTAGCGGGATGTGTGAGATCTTTGTTGATCACCAAACATCACATCTGTTCCTGATAACAGCCAGGGGAAGTAGAACGGGGGTCAAAATCTGAGCCGGAGCGACCCCGGGACGGTGGAAACAGAGGGCCGGGGGTGAAGGGGATTCCTTGCCGCCGAAAGTGAGGACGGGGCATCTATAGATAATATAGATACTGTGCCACCAAAACCATCACAAACAATGTACCACAAAGTCTAATAAACCAAACATTTACTTTACAGAGATTCATAGATACAAAACTCATCAAATTTGTAGTTTTCGTGTTTCATGTGACTTCAGTTTTGCTTCGATCCAGAGGCGGGAAATTCTGGAGTAGTTTTCTCATCTGGTTTGTGGACTTTACGAACTGGATTTAAAGGAAACATACAGATATGATGCTATTTTCTGATCTTTGTTTCATTCTCATGTTTAACACACAAACCCTGTTTACTTATTTATGTATTTATGTATTTACGTCGACCGGAACAAAGCTGCTGCCGGCGTTTTTGTCATTTCAGTTTGTCGTTATGTGGGTGGTGGTGGGCGGTGACTGTGGCGGTGGGCGGTGACTGTGGGTCGTCAGGGCCTGTGGTTCAAGTTTATTCTTCACTTTGTTAACACATTAGAACTTCCTCATGAGTTAAGACATTACATCAACAACATCAGCATGCTAACCACACACCGCTGTTACTATTAAATACATTTAGGACAAACACAAACACACAAGAGGAAACAGGAGATTTGCTTTGCAATGTTTATTTTTTAAACAAGTTAATGCATTTATACACATTCCAAAAGAAACGTTCTTTCTAAATGCATCTTCTGGTCACCTCGGACTTGGTGCGGGTGAGGAAGGCTCTCAGCTCGGTGTTGAGATGGTTCAGAACAGCTGCTTCAAAAGCTGCCGTGTCTAGTGCACAAAGAGCTCTCACGAGGGAGTGAGGAGAGTCATACTCCACTTGGATCTGTTTGACCGCTCTTTTGCCAATTTCTTGTAAATCTTCCAGGCTGATGTCACCATTTCCAACAATGACGTGTTCCTGGATTTTTCTTTGTATCTCCTCCGCCATCAGGCTGTAGTCCATGTTGGCCACTTTTAAAATGTGTTTAACACAAGCCCCTGTGAGGATGTGGGACGCTCCGTGTCCACAGGAGGGAGCAGGCGGGTCGATCATCTCCTCTGCTGGGACAGGATCTTCTGCTGGACTGACAGGTTCTACTGAGCTGGTATTTTCCTGTGGAGATGGAACCTGCTCAGGACTGGGCTCCTGTGGTGAATCCACTGAAACATCTGTGGCGTTAGATTGGTTTTCTTTTCTAAAACTCTCCTTCTTTGCTCTTAGCGCCTGCTGGAGTTCCAGTTTGTATAACTGCTGCTGTTGGACAACATGCTGCTGGAACTGATGCTCTTGGGCAGGGCACATCTTTGGGTTGTGCTTTTCCATCAGCTCCTTATATCCCATCATCTCCAGCATTTTGTGAGCTGCGCTGACCTTGGCCGCCTTCTTGGAGGAGGCCATTCCCTGGCAGGACATCCGGCCCACTCTTACCTCCACACAGAAGGTGGTTCTGGAGGCGTGCTGCACAAACGAGACCACCCTGAATTCAGGAGCTCGTTGCTTCCTCACCTCCAGTATTTCTGTGAGGGCGGTGATTGGGTTTTTATTGTAGAAGTAGAACGGACGTTCCACAGGGTCCACCAGATCTACGTGGGGTTTCTGCCAATATGGAGTCACATCCTCTGGCACTGGGAGCTGCTTCAGCTCCTCCACCACTTCCTTGGCCGCATCTAGTTTAGCCTTTTGTTTGGTGGGTCCAAAGCCAAAGCCAACATAGTTTCCCACTCGCACTTCTGCGTGGAAGGTGCTCCTATGGGCTTGGCCGTCTTGTTGTATGTCAAACTGGACGCGCAGATCGTGCAGCACAGCAAGATCATGTAAACGCGTCAAATCAGATTTGTAATCGTCCGTAGGTATTTCAATTTTCATCTTGTCGTTTGTAGTCGTCAACGTGTCTAGAAAAGTGTCTGTTTGTGTCTCGTCTTCTGGCGTCTTACTTATACAAAACCAGTCATGTGACCAGCTTTGAAGTGTGATGTCATGAAGCATGAAACGTCGTTACCACGGCTACGACCAATGAGCTTGAAGAGAAGGAGAATGTCGACTGTTGCCATAGCGACATAGAACTCCAAACATTGTACTGTTAAAGTGGTTTTTATGTTTTTTCAGATTATTCCTTGGTTTGGTGGAATAATATCTGGGGAAATATTCATAGTTTTACATCAGTGATGTGGCAGTTTGTGAAAAAAGTTAAAAAGATAAATGTAAAAATACAGGAAGGAAGGAAGGAAGGAAGTCCTTCTCTGCTGGTCTACA